AAGCTAACGAACGGGCATTTTCATACCTTTATCTAAAACAACTAATCTGTTATGACCTTGGAAAGTCATTTTGTGAGACAGATTCGTTCAATGACCGTGGTCGTGGCATGAAGAAGCACAGTGGGAGCGAATACACAGCGCTGCGGAGCGAGGACGGTATCCGCACTGAGCACTTACAACATCATGTATAAGCGGAATGTGAACGTATTCGCTCCAACATATGATTCAACTACCCCTTGCTCGGATAGGAAATACGCTGGACGAGACTTTACGAAAGTACAATGTGAGCCAGGGGTCAGGACATGCAGTAGCTGGGCTACGCCTTTGGCTGAGGCATTTTTTCCGAGTTGAGCACGATGTGCGTAACACGTAGCCTGTTTTGCTGAGTTTTTCGTTGACAGCCGCTTGAAGCTGGCTATCAGCGAACTCGGAAACTTTTTCTGGAAACCTGAGGAGTCTTGTAGAACGAGTTTTGAGAATTGCCAACTCGACAAAGGGCTCAAACACAACGTGTACTGTACGCATTTCCGCGACGAGGTCTGTTCTTCACCTGAGCATCGGCTATTCTATAGAACGCTAACAAACAGACGTTTTCAAGCCTTTATCTGAAACAACTAATCTGTTATGACCTTGAACATTCATTTTTCGAGACAGATTCGTTTAATGACCGTGGTCGTGGCATGAAGAAGCACAGTGGGAGCGAATACACAGCGCTGCGGAGCGAGGACGGTATCCGCACTGAGCACTTACAACATCATGTATAAGCGGAATGCGAACGTATCCGCTCCAACATATGATTCAACTACCCCTTGCTCGGATAGGAAATACGCTGGACGAGACTTTACGAAAGTACAATGTGAGCCAGGGGTCAAGACATGCAGTAGCTGGGCTGCGCCTTTGGCTGAGGCACTGTTTCCAAGTTGAGCACGATGTGCGTAACACGTAGCCTGTTTTGCTGAGTTTTTCGTTGACAGCCGCTTGAAGCTGGCTATCATCGAACTCGGAAACTTTTTCCGGAAACCTGAGGAGTCTTGTAGAACGAGTTTTGAGAATTGCCAACTCGACAAAGGGCTAAAACACAACGTGTACTGTACTCATTTCCGCGACGAGGTCTGTTCTTCACCTGAGCATCGGCTATTCAATAGAAAGCTAACGAACGGGCATTTTCATGCTTTTATCTAAAACAACTAATCTGTTATGACCTTGGAAAATCATTTTGTGAGACAGATTCGTTTAATGACCGTGGTCGTGGCATGAAGAAGCACAGTGGGAGCGAATACACAGCGCTGCGGAGCGAAGACGGTATCCGCACTGAGCACTTACAACATCATGTATAAGCGGAATGCGAACGTATCCGCTCCAACATATGATTCAACTACCCCTTGCTCGGATAGGAAATACGCTGGACGAGACTTTACGAAAGTACAATGTGAGCCAGGGGTCAAGGCATGCAGTACCTGGGCTACACCTTTGGCTGAGGCACTGTTACCGAATTGAACACGATGTGCGTAACACGTAGCCTGTTTTGCTGAGTTTTTCGTTGACAGCCGCTTGGAGCTGGCTATCAGCGAACTCGGAAACTTTTTCTGGAAACCTGAGGAGTCTTGTAGAACGAGTTTTGAGAATTGCCAACTCGACAAAGGGCTCAAACACAACGTGTACTGTACGCATTTCCGCGACGAGGTCTGTTTTTCACCTGAGCATCGGCTATTTAATAGAAAGCTAACGAACGGGCATTTTCATGCCTTTATCTAAAACAACTAATCTGTTATGACCTTGGAAAGTCATTTTGTGAGACAGATTCGTTCAATGACCGTGGTCGTGGCATGAAGAGGCACAGTGGGAGCGAATACACAGCGCTGCGGAGCGAGGACGGTATCCGCACTGAGCACTTACAACATCATGTATAAGCGGAATGTGAACGTATTCGCTTCAACATATGATTCAACTACCCCTTGCTCGGATAGGAAATACGCTGGACGAGACTTTACGAAAGTACAATGTGAGCCAGGGGTCAGGACATGCAGTAGCTGGGCTACGCCTTTGGCTGAGGCATTTTTTCCGAGTTGAGCACGATGTGCGTAACACGTAGCCTGTTTTGCTGAGTTTTTCGTTGACAGCCGCTTGAAGCTGGCTATCAGCGAACTCGGAAACTTTTTCTGGAAACCTGAGGAGTCTTGTAGAACGAGTTTTGAGAATTGCCAACTCGACAAAGGGCTCAAACACAACGTGTACTGTACGTATTTCCGCGACGAGGTCTGTTCTTCACCTGAGCATCGGCTATTCAATAGAAAGCTAACGAACGGGCATTTTCATGCCTTTATCTAAAACAACTAATCTGTTATGACCTTGGAGAGTCATTTTGTGAGACAGATTCGTTCAATGACCGTGGTCGTGGCATGAAGAGGCACAGTGGGAGCGAATACACAGCGCTGCGGAGCGAGGACGGTATCCGCACTGAGCACTTACAACATCATGTATAAGCGGAATGTGAACGTATTCGCTTCAACATATGATTCAACTACCCCTTGCTGGGATAGGAAATACGCTGGACGAGACTTTACGAAAGTACAATGTGAGCCAGGGGTCAAGACATGCAGTAGCTGGGCTACGCCTTTGGCTGAGGCACTGTTTCCGAGTTGAGCACGATGTGCGTAACACGTAGCCTGTTTTGCTGAGTTTTTCGTTGACAGCCGCTTGAAGCTAGCTATCAGCGAACTCGGAAACTTTCCCGGGAACCTGAGGAGTCTTGTAGAACGAGTTTTGAGAAATGCCAACTCCACAAAGGGCTAAGACACAACGCATATATTCTCACACGCACTCTAAGACAAATATTTTCCCACACCGCTCTTTAATAGATCGCAACAAAGTGACTCTACCACTATACTATCATCCCGGTATGCTGGGCGACACCAGAAAGATCGACAATCGTTCTCATCAGCATCTGTCACCACATCGAAAATGTGCATGACATGTAAATATGAAGTGTTAAAGTAAATACAAAGCTAAAGCGTACTTTTCACTACTTTATCTCTCCCACCCACCTACCACACGAGCCAGTCCTATCCGACCATTGACCGCTACACTGTGTAGCCTACACACGCGCTGGATACATGAATGGGCTCTCCCAAAATACAAAAAAATTCACAGCTACTAAGAGTCGTGTCGATCAGACGTTGTCACCTGTGGTTTTCGAAAATATTAAAACCGTCAGTGTAGCAGAATAGCTCTCAAAACTGTTAATCTTCTCCTCAGAATGCTTCGTACTACGGGGCATTCTAATTTAGTTTACACTTCTACTCCAGTATATAGAGTGAAGGTCCTGGTTCGATCCGCGGTGTCGGCGGTTTTCCGAATTAAAAATTACCGCGCGCCACAAAATTCCACGACGCGCATCCTGACGTGCTGAGGGTAGTCTCACATATACATAGGGTTAGCCTCATAGTTTCTGAGTAACTCACCTTCCTAGGCCTTCCCTGCGTGGGTGAGAGTAAAAGCGGGCCGGAGGCCCGCGTTACGACCCCATAGGGGGGTCGGCCAAGGCAGTGCCCACGTATGGCCCAAAAACTGCCCACGTATGGCCCACCGGGCTACTTAAGGCCATCGGAGTTGGTTTCAGCGAAACCGTCGTTATGCGCTGTTCTTGCACTTTTCGTGCAATCTTACTGACAGTTCAGATATTTACTGACAGATTCAGTCAGAGCCTCCGGTCATGCGTCAAAAGTATCTACTACGACTGTGAACGCGTGTGTTATCAGTTTTTTTTGTGGGTCCAGTTTGCCTGCACCCTTGTTATCCTATCAAACCTTCGCCTTCCTCTTTGTAGCGAATGAGCCCAATATCGATTACTGGGCTGCTAAGTCTGTGGTATTCGTACAGAACTTAAGTGCAGGTAGTGCCAAGGATGTATATCGCTCGCCCTAACTTTCGCGCGCGCCCTTACTTTGTACAAAATCCAAGGATGTCACTTTTCCCATTCGGGTTTCTGGTTGCCTTGGGTAACAGCTCTCACCTTTATAACAGTTCGGGTTTCTGGTTGCCTTGGGTAACAGCTCTCACCTTTATAACAGTTCGGGTTTCTGGTTGCCTTGGGTAACAGCTCTCACCTTTATAACAGTTCGGGTTTCTGGTTGCCTTGGGTAACAGCTCTCACCTTTATAACAGTTCGGGTTTCTGGTTGCCTTGGGTAACAGCTCTCACCTTTATAACAGTTCGGGTTTCTGGTTGCCTTGGGAAACAGCTCTCACCTTTATAACAGGTCGGGTTTCTGGTTATCTTGTCGGGTTTCGGGTTGGGTTTCGGGTTTCCCTTTCTACGATTTCCCTCTGTTCTCTTTTTTTTCTTTTTTGCTACCTATTCTGATTATTACGCGCTATTGGGTTTTCAGGCATTCGTCACTCGTGTCCCTCCCTTCCCTGCCACGTGACGTAGGTGGCCCACGTGACATTGTGACGTGGCCCACGTGCATCACGTGACGTATTCGCGTTCCTACGGACCATCCTGTATGGTACATCCACTCCAACGCAAGTACCCATCCCTGGATGCACATTTCCGCAACGCTGGTATTCACCGTAAGTAACCTTTGTTAAGGTGGGTCTCTGGCCCTCAGAATGACATGCAAAGTCTACGTTATAGACTCGTACTCGCAAAATACTAGTAAATTGGCAGTCTTCGTGGCTGTCGCATTGATATACTCGATACTTTGGCTATTCCTCTTGCTTTGAGGAGTAGAGATGCTTCAGTTTGATGTTGTACATACCGCTCAGCTGCTTGGAGACATCCCTCGGCCAAAACTTCCCAACTTCCTGCTTCCCCTCCAACTCGATGGTTATGTGTGGGTTATTGTAAGCAGTTGTGGTTCTCTTCTCATTTCTTCCTTGCTGATCGGACATGAGAGTGGTGGAGAGCTGAGCTGGACGTAGTGCAGACCTTTAATCTCACAGTCTGTCGCATTTTTCAACACCAACTGATACTTTACGGTGTAATTATGGACCGCCCCAATAATCGATTTGTGCTCTCGAGAATTCACGGAAAGAAATGTAGTAAAGGCCTCGATTATGTTAGCGGTGCCACTGTGGCATCATGTGGTGTCGAACTGACTTACGGCTTCGCATGAATTTTCGCGAAAGTCCGGTGCGCACATACCACATTCCTCTGAACGTGGCCGAGAACAGACTGTCAGGGAGCTTGGTGGCGCTAGCCTATGAGCTGTAGGGTTCATCATACATCAGCCTCGGTACGAATGAGAAGACTGTTTCACACCGCTTCCAGTTAGAAACTATGGTATATCTTTGCTGCTCACTTTGGTCCACGTTTGCTAGTTTGTATAATAAAAGAGGCGATCGTGGAGAAGAGGAGCTTTTTCTCACCGGCGTAGTACACGACGCTAGAGAGTACCTGATAAGGATCAGAACCGTACCGTGGGTACCGGCAACTACGACTGCAGCAGCGATGTTCGAAAAATGGGATTGCACATAATATGTGCAATCCTATTTTTCGAACATCGAAATTGTGAAACTCTATTGTGTATATGTGCCACATATACACAATAGAGTTTCACTCTAGTAATATGAAATACATATTCCACGACTACTGCATATCACCGCGAATATCGTTTTTTTCACTGAGTATTACGCCACCTCGCGTAAAACGGGTGAAACTCCAATGTTACGTCTGAGGGCCACATGATTATTCTCGGTGATGAT